AAATTACAAATAAATGATTGTAAAAAGATAGATGGTTATGCGTAAAATAATAGATATGTGACTGTCAAATAACGAACTGGCGAGTACGAAGACAGATAAATGATTGTAAAATGACAGATGCCTGTGTGTAACTACAAATAAGTGATTGCAAAAAAATAAATGATCGATTGTAAAATAACAGATCAGTGACTGTAAAAAAACAGATATCTAACTTTCACAAAACATATGTGTGATTGTAACAGAACAAATTACTACAACAATCTGTTACCGCTTCTATAGATACTAGCTTCTGTTTTTTTTAATTTCTTATGTGTTTTGGGTATATAGATTAAAGTCAAAACATGAAAGTTGTAACTTATTCTCTTAACTCTCCAAGAAATTTTGAATTACCTAAATCCAAGTTTTCTAGTTTGAAATATGAATTTTTTACTGAAATTGGTGTTACTATGAGCTATTTTTGCTAAAAATTTTTGATAACTTCTATTTTTCCCATTTTTGATAGCTTTTCAAGAAGATTTGAATTGGGATCAAAACATGATAATTACAGAGATTCTTCTTAGCGTTATAAAGGTTCTTAAATCACTTCAATCCAACTTATGGACCTCAAGATATGGCCATTTTTTTGACGCATTGCAAAACTAAAATGTGACAACACTATTTATTATACCTCAAATCTAATTTTTCTTAGAAATTTCACTTCAATTGCATTTGTTTTGACCAAGGAATAGCCCACGCACACATGTTGAGCTAGTTTGGATGGTGACCAAGACAACAGTAAGTAGTAAAACTGGCTTAACATGTGTGCATGGGTCATTCCTGAGCCAAAACAAGTGCAATTGAAGTACAAATTTTAAGAAAAATCTGATTTGATGTGCAAAAACAATGTTGTCATATTTCAATTTTGTTGTATGTTAGAAAAATGGTCATATCTTGAGGTCTACAAGTCAGATCGAGGTGATTCAAGAAGCTTTGTAACACCAAGGAGAATCTCTACAATTATCATGTTTTGATCTCAATTCAAATATTCTCAAAAAGCTGTCAAAAATGGGAAAATCAAAAGCTGCCAAAATTATTAGCAGAAATAGCTCTTAGCATCACCAGTTTCAATAAAAAATTTATATCTCAAGCTAGAGAACTTGGATTTGGGCAATTCAAAATCCCTTGGAAAGTTAAGAGAAGAAGTTACAACTTTTATGTTTTGACTTTAATCTAATTATGTCCAAAATACACCTGAAATTAAAGAAATAGAAACTAGTATCTACAGGAGTAATAAAAGATTTTTGTAACAATCTGTTCTATTACAATCATGCATCTGTTTTGTGACAGTAGATATCTGCTATTTGACAGTCACTGATATGTTATACCCAAAACGCACTTGAAATTGAAGAAATAAAAGATGGTATCTACAGGAGCAATATTAGGTATTTACAGTAGTAAGAAGAAGAACAATAAGAAGAAGAAGAAGGAAAAATCAGAACTTGAGGGTTACCAAGATGGAGATGCTAAAGGAAGGAGGACGAGGAGGAAGCTTCTATCAGTTAGCATGGAGGACCTTGGGACGTTGGAGTTTGCAATAGTAAGAAGAAGAAGAAGAATAAGAAGAAGGAAGCTTGGATCGGTTGGCACAGATAACTTTGGAACGCTGGAGTTTGGTCTTTCGATTCTGAAGAAGGAGAAGGAGGAGGAAGAGAAAGGGAGGAGGAAGTAAAACAATTTGAGGATATTTTGGGTATGAAAATTACTTTAACTAGGTAATTTTTTTGTTATAGACTTTTTTGGAATTATTTTTTTTGGCCTTAAGAGTAATTGTTATTATTTAATTTTCCTCTTTAGTAATTATCCAAAAAAAAAATTTCTTACCATAGTTGGGTCTTGAAAATAAGTTTAAATCTCTTGCTTCACAACATATTAACCAGAAAATCAAAGTAATCCGATGACTCTTTCATTGAACTATATATAATTACCAAATAACTTGAATATAACTCAAAAGCCCTAACTACTATATGTATCTATGTATAAAGAATGTTATAACAAAAAAAAATGCAAAAAGCTTGAGAACAATTGTGTGTTTTACCTTGCTACTTGATAAAGAAGGGCTTTATTGTGTACAAGAAAGAAGGGAAAGAAGTTCAATTAGGTTTGCTATTTTACCTTGTTATGGGAGAAAGAAGTCCAACTGGATCTTTTTTATCTGAGAAAGAAGGGTTTTGTCAATGGTTTTAAGGTGTGCATAGAGCTTGCATCAATTCAATTCACAAATAGATTATCCACGCATCCCAAGCCCATTGTCAAAAAGTAGCTCATTTATAATAAAATATAGATGACATATAGTATGATAGAATAATTTTTGATAGAACGGGAATGAAAGTGAAAATGTGAATAAAATAGAATTATGATTCTAATGATTATGTTTGGTATATACACTGATAAAATGATAATTCATATTTTATCATTATATTTGATATATTGGAATAGAGATGAAAAAGTAATAAACAAGTTCAAAAAAAAATACCATTTATTATAAAGATTTAAAAATTAAAAAAGTTAACTTGTAATATATCCTGAACAAATTTAAAAATTAATTTTTTGTTATAATATTAAAATATTAAATTCATAAACATATGTGTATTTGTATGTGTGTATATATACATATATATATAATAACTCATATACGTCTTATGTAAATCTAGTAAATTATATAATATATAATATAATATATCATATTATACAATTTATTATGTTATACTAGATAAATATAATACATAATCATATTATATAATTTATTATATTATAATATAATATATTAATATATAATATTATAAATACTTATAATTTTTTATATCTATAGAATATTTTTGTCATTTACTTAAAAATAAAAGATATTTTAGTAATTATATACATAAATAAAGATTTTATCAGGGGATTAAGTGCCAATCAAACGTATTTTTTATAAATAAGTACTAATCAAATGCATTTTTTTTAAGATTCTCATTTCTATTTCTATTCACATTCTCATTCTCTCAATAAGATTCCATTGTATCATACGTTAGAATAAGAATAAATTGTGAGACTTTTAGTCTTTACTTTATAATTCACTTAGATATTTTTCCTCCCCTTTTGAGTAGGTCAGTTAATTTTTCAGTAAGGTAAAAAATTTGGCAGGATCAAATGTGGATAATTAAAAATTTTATAGGACTAAATATAGATAGTCAAAAATTACAGGATGAAATATGTCTTAATGTAAAACTGACGTGACCATTTTGTGGAATCTTGCCTTTGAAAATACAAGTTAATAAATGGTGATGCAATGTTTATCCTCCATACTGGGTTAATTTACCTTTTAGCCCCTTGACTTACCTAATTTTTTAAAGTTAATTTCGCATTAAATACAATCCTTCGTATCAACTTTATTTAATTAGCATGATACAGTATTAATTTAAAATTTTGAATTTATTTGTTACAAGATATATTATATTAAATATGTTATATGAATACATTTTATAAAAATATAATAAAAATCTTGTCACGTAAAATTAAAATACATTCAAAAAATTAAGAAATTGCTTTAAATTTTCAAAAGCTCTAAATAAAATTTATTAAAACCCTATCTTAAAAGTCAACTATTTTGCTTCAACGGATCACTGTTTATTTAGGAAATATACTTTTCATGTATTGTAATCACCAACTCCGATTTTGATGGAGTTGGGTTTGATTTAATTGTTCATTGAATACAATTTTCAAAAAAATCAAACTTAGATTAATCCAATAACTTGTTGATCGGCTTAATAATTTTAATAAATAATATATAATATTATGGGATTATTACTTTTTTTTCTCAAAAAATATACTTGTTAATTGTGCGACGCCCTCTCTTATAACTCGTTATTCTTTATTTATCTTATCCGGTGTGGGATCCTTACCACCTTCCTTACCCCTACAAAGAGTCAAAAGCGTTTGTGGGCAAACAACACTATCAAATTAGTCTTCTAAATTTAATTCTGTTCTAATACTATTTATCACAAGAATGTTTTTTTACCCTAAAAAATATACCTATTAAAATACATCATTTATCTTATCTATGTTCTAATACTATTTATCACAAGAATATTCTCTTACCCTAAAAAATATACCTATTAAAATACATCATTTATCTTATCTACATTGGATATATAATAATAGTATATTTCCTTGGGGCATGACAGACCACGCACCATTTCTTTCTTGGTGTAACCAACATGAAAAGAAAAATATGGTTCAAGTTTTGAGTGGATTCTGAGTCCACTAAGTCCCTTGGCATTTTAGGACACAAAACTGAAATTGAAGAACGCCTGCAAAAAACACCGAAAAGAAGGGAACGAAGAGTTTTAGCAAAAATTCAAAACTAAACATGAGATGGAATAATTTGATTTTTATTTTTTAAATAAAATAATTAATTATGTAATAATATAATTGCAATATAATTTATGCATAAACATTAATATTTTTAATACTATTATATATTTTTTATAATAATATATTTGGCTGGGTCCAATATTTTTTAAAAAAGAAAAAAATTTTATTAATATTAAAATTCTTATTTTACACGAGATATTAAATGGGATAAATATGTCCTCTGTACATGATGCTAAAAATGAATATAAAATATATTTAAATTTGAGGTGATACAAAAACTATGTTGTGTGTGTGGGGGGCGGGGGGGGGGGGGGGGGGGGGGTGGTGTTTAGTTAGGGCTTGCCATTTCCATTTAAAAAGAAAAAAATGATGTTAAATTTTTGGGCTGTGTTGGCTTGCATTCAGGCTCGTTTGTCCTATCCAGGCCTAAGCCCAAGGTGCCGTCACCCTTATTTTTCCTTTCCTCTTCCTCTCTCGTTCTAAGCTAGAGCGCGCTCAACAGTAGCAAAGGCCTATCCACAACCACATTAACGGTTGGCATTCCATCTAGCAACCATGATTGCCGCTGTCGCTGTGAAGTGAAGGAAGAAGCTAGACGTTGAAAAAAAATGGCGTCGCTCTTCTCAATCCCTTCGTATTCATCATATTCTTCCTCGTCCTCGGCTTTTCTCTCACCCACACTGAAGAACACCCCAAAATGCTCATCTTTCCTAACACCCAAAAGGACCCCTCAATTCAGAAGACCCCTCTCTGTAATCTCCCTTCTCACGCAGGAATCTGAGCCGCCGCCGGCCGTGCAGACCTTCTGGCAATGGTTCTGTGACCAAGGAGTCATCTCCAGCAAGTGCCCGGTGAAGCCCGCCGTGGTGCCGGAGGGCCTGGGATTAATTGCTCAGAGGGACATAGCCAAAAATGAGGTCGTTTTGGAGGTCCCCAAGAAGTATTGGATCAACCCAGACACGGTATCGGGTTCGGAGATAGGAAGCGTATGCGGGGGTTTGAAGCCGTGGATCGCGGTTGCCCTGTTTTTGATTAGAGAGAAGAAGCTCAAAAAGGACGACTCTCCCTGGCGATACTATTTTGATATTCTTCCAGAGTATACAGATTCTACTATATATTGGTGGGTTTGACTTTCTTTTGACCTTTTGGTCCTGCGATTGTTGATTTTGTGATTATAACGGGTATTTGATTCAGGAAAGCTTATTTTGTTTGAGGGCTCTAGTTAAAGCCCAATAGAATGAGCTTCATGATTTTTTTTGGCAGATGTGAACTTTTTACATTGAGTTAACTTTTGAAAGTTCAAATGCAATTTCTTCGTAATTTTGAGAAGCCCATCAAAAAAGTCTTTTCCTCTTGACATAAAAGTGACGTTCTGAGCGTGGGATTATTATAGGGCCAAAAATCACAAGAAGTAGCTTTTGAAAGAGAGCTTATCGGTTCTACGATTTCTTGGTAGTAGTTTAAAAGTGGCTTTTTGCGAGATGGCTTGTTGGACGGTGGAAAATCATGTTAGAATTTGCAACCAAACGCAAATGGTGCTTTTAAACCATGCCAAAATTTGGCCTAATAGATTGGCTGATTGTTGGTTTTGTGATTCCCATTCTCTTGCTTGATAAGTAGCTTTTTGAAGGAGAGACTATTAGAGGCAAAAAAATCTCCTTAAAAGTAATCGTAAACCATGCCAATTGAGGCCTAATAGATTGTTTAGGATGCTTCTTGTTAGTGGGTTTGAAATTCTGGTGTTGACAAGTTTTTTTCATGAATCCAGTGCAGGTCAGAAGAGGAGCTATCTGAGATTCAAGGTTAGTCCAATGCAATCTTTTATTTGGGGCTAAGCTGAAAGCAGTCTATGTGGTTTGTTATAGAATTGAAGCTTTGATAGAGCTTAAGCCTTTGCAGGGACTCAGCTATTGAACACAACATTGGGAGTGAAAGAATATGTAGAGAGTGAGTTTGAAAAGCTGGAAGAGGAAGTCATACTTCCCCACAAGCAGCTTTTCCCTTTCCCTATAACATTGGAGGATTTCTTTTGGGCTTTTGGTATACTCAGATCAAGAGCTTTTTCTCGCCTCCGCAACCAAAACCTTGTCTTGATTCCTTGTGTAGACCTGGTATGTTCTCCTTCACCCTCATCAAGTCAGATCTGAATAAGGATTTTATATCTATCTTTCAATTTCAAAATGGACAACATCTATAAATTGGTAATTATCAAAAAAGGATTTTAGTTAACCTTGAGAAAGGACGGAGAAAACACAAAATTACATGTGAAACCTATGTTTAGGTGTGATAGAAAAGCCAAATGTCACTTAAGAACTTGAGGAGATTACTAAATAGTTATTTGAAATTCAAACCCTAATTACATCCAAAACTGTTTTCTCTTGCTCACAAAACCATAGAAACGACTGTAATTAAGAAAAAAAATCAAAGGGAAAAAAATTCCTTCTGAAAGCATTTAGGCTTTTCATTGGGTTGAGTCATTTGTTAGGACAAAAACCCAGACATCTCAATGTTTAGTCTTTCATTTTCATTTCTGTTTCTCCATATAAATTCCCCTCCTTTGCATTGTTGAATTTTTTCACTCTTGGCCACACACACACACACACACACACACACACACACACACACACACACACACACACACACACACACAGACACATGCAGAAACTTCATTGACTTAGGATAAGTTAAGGAAATTCGTGAACAACAAGAAGAAGCTCTCTAATTGGAGTACATCAACAAACTTCTGATCTAACTTCACGAAGGTGAATGAAAAACAGGATTGGAAAAGATCATATTTCAGAGTAAAAACTTCCAAATGTGGCTTCCCAAGTGAGCCAATTTGGAATTTCTGCCATGAATTGGTGGCTGGAAGTTTTACCCTCACTTGGATCCTTTGGCTAAGCTCCAGAAGCTTCTTCGTGGTTGAGATAACATCCTTCCCTCCATCATGAGAACAAAACCTCTTCAAACAGCTTGACACCGATCCACTTTTTGGACACCTTGGTCTATCCCAAGAAGCCCTCATTTTTATGTCAAGGTACTCAATGCTATCCCCTCCAAGGAAGCTCTTTCCTGTCATTGAAAATGAATCAAATTTCAAAAAATATTCAGCACCATATAGCATAATAATTGAAATTAATTTCAATATATTTCAACCCAATTTTTGTAAATCCATTTGATTCAATATATTTCTTTTTTTTTATATACAATATTGGCCTCTGGTGAGAAAAAAAAAATCAAATTAGGAAGATTATACCTTCTTATCAATATAGGCTGTCCAGAATGAGGCCAAGGCACAATCATAGAGATTAGAAGGGAGGAGGGATGGGCCAGACGTCCATACCTCATCAATATATTAGTTGATGACAAGGAACTGACATATTGGCCTTCTGTCATGGACAAGAAAGGTTATTTTCTTGTGAATAGGGTTTGATTTGAGGTGAACCTCACTTCTGGAGCCAAGTTTCTCTTGTAGCAACTCATGATTGATTGATTTTAAGTTAAGGGTGATTTGAACGCGATTCACATATAGGCTCGTTACTGCTCCTTTCAGCTTTACACTGGCAATGGCCTATTGCGCTCTTGCAATGGAGGATTGAATATGCTAGAGGTAATTGAAACACAGGAGAGAAACTAAATGGACATCATGTAAGGCTTGAGGTAGTTGAGTTTGAACATTAATCAATTTACATAGCTAAGAATTAATCTAAAACAAAAAATTATTAATATTAATCAATATACATACCTAAGAATTACTCTAAAACAAAGAATAAGGATGTAACCCTAACGGATTTGACTCTAACATTAATTATTCCTAGTAAAGAAGGGGCAAAAAAAAAAAATTGCTGGGTATGACCAAGCACTGTTTGTCATGGCCTAATGTGTCAGAGCTAAGGAAATGTCCTAATTATTTTTCATTTTTTTACTTCTTTATTTTTTATGATGTAGAAGTCCTAGTCTTATTCTTTCCTCATGAAGGAGATTGCACGGTTAGTTTGTGTCAACAGGCAAACAGGTTAAGGAGGAAAAAAAAAAATTCCTCCTCCATGTTTGAGAGAGCATCCTTCAATTCATCATGATAACAAAACTTCTTGGGGCATCCTATGAGAGCCAGGGGTCTTGGTCTCATCAAGCAGCTTCATGCTGAAAAATTTGTAGATTGCCTTAATTAACCCCGAGAAGCCCCCCCAGTGCTCTGTCAAGGTACCCAGATGTTATTCCCTCTCAAGAAAGCCTTTTCTTTGCTTGCAACATCTGATCCACAACTCCCATTTTTTCCACTTCTCCTTGTGCCATCCTTGGATCTGAGCCTGTTCTCAATCCGTGAACTGGCTCAAATCAGAACCAGCCACTGGTTCCAGTCCTGAAAAAATATGAACTAGGATTGGAACCTTAAAGGTCGGTTCAGGTTCAGTTCGAGTTCTGGTTCATCACAATTCAATCCGGTTCATGATTTCGGTTTGTCATGATTTCAATTCCAGTTCATCCACAATTTTGGTTTTGGTTCTAGTTCGTTCCCATTTGTCCGCGATTTGGTTTGGTTCTGATTCGATTTTATCGAAAAAAATTATATACTAACTTATAAATATTTTTGAGTTATTAAATAATTTTCAGATATCATAAATATTTAATTTTATAAATATGTTTCAAATAATAATAATAATAATAATAACAAAAACAATAACAATAATAAGGGATTTGAACTTAATTGTATATCAATTAGACTGCCTACGTATTCTTTTGGAGTTTAGAGGAATTAAAAGACATGTAATTCTTTTATCTTAATTAGTTTAATCTCTTAACTTTTAACTTAACATTCACTATCTCCGGTCTTAGTTGTTGTTCCTTTGTTATTTTCTTAATTTGACTCTACAATAAATTCTTGTTATCTTTATACATGGCCCTCGTCCAATCATCAAGATATAATTGAGTTTCAGCATTTGTTATCTATATTAGTATTTTGATAATATGTTCTTAATCCAAACTTTCTTATGTTTATGCTCCTTAAACAACTCAAAAGTAATAACAATTAAATTACACCAAGTAAATATTTGTCAGAAATTGAAAAAAAAAAAGAAAGAAATATATTAGCTTTTCATAATTAAGAAGTTTTAATTTTAACATCTATTTTTAATTTTTTACAAGCTAATATTTTGAAGAAAAAAAGAAAAAAATAAAAGAAAAGAAGCAATATTTGCCATTTTTTATGATTTTTGCTTTCCATAATTGGAAGTTATAGTTGATTAAGGAGATGTTTATTTTTAGAAAGTCAGAAATTTTTAATTGAACTTTTTATTTATTTTGTAATTAGAAAGAAAGCTTTCTAAACAAATTAAAACAAATTCACAATTCACTCACAATCACGATTTTGGTTTATAGTTCATTTGCGGTTTGAATTCACGATTCAATGTTCATGGTTCACTCACAGTTGGTTTATGGTTCAAATCCAATTCAATTAATATGATTTTATTTGGTTCTAGTTCACTGGTTCTAGTATAGTTCCAATTCTGATTCAAAAAACATGAACCTTAACTATACCAGTTATTCTTATGGTTTAGAACTGGACCAGATCGGAAATTGTCAATCCGGTCCAGTCCAATTTTTTACAGGTCCGGTCCATGCCGGACCCGTGAGTAGGCCTACTTGCATCCTTTGACCAATGGTGCTCACTTAAACTATTTTAATTGTGTCATTGTATTCCCCATAATTCATATGTATATTGTTTAAGTTGATAAAAAAGAGAATCTCCAAAATTTGGACAACAGGCGCCAAATTTTTGGAAGTTGTAACTTGTAACTAGTTTATCACACATATTTTCCTTTTGGCTTACAAGATCTTAAAAACATAAACAAAATAAGCTATTAGGTGTAATTAATACAACCTAAACTTGTGGGTTATTTTTCGTTTATAAAACATCACCTCTTTGATTAAAGAAAATCAATGAAACTAGGACGAAATCATGCCTCTTCATTGTTATGGGCTGCCAGAATTAGGCTACTGCACAATCATTGGGATCAGTGGGGTGGAGGGAGGAGCCCGATGTCCGTGTTTCATTGATGTATTGGACAATGACACGGGACTCACATATGGGCCTGTTATCATTCACAAAAACTAGGATTTTATTGTGAACGGGGTTTGATTTGAGCAAAGCTCATTCAAGGAGCCAAATTTCTCTTGTAGAAATTCATAGTTTACTGATTTTAGGTTCATGATGAATTGAACCCTGTTCACAATTGTGCTCAGTGTAGCTCCTCTGAGCTTCAAACCGGCCATGGTTTGGATTGGTGTACGCGTAGGGGATTTGAAATATAAGCTAGAATTAAAGGGAATTAAAGGGGTGTGTGTGTGTGTGTGTGTGTGTAAGGGGCTTTCTCTAGCAAATAAAAGAAAATAAGGCGTGATATGTAAGCCATGACGGAGTTGACTTTGAATAGTAATTGTGCCTGGTTAAGGAAACAAAATTAGCTATGACTACCAATTATGGTCATCTAATAGGTCACAGCGGGAGGGAGAAATCCAAATCCTTTATAAATTATTTATCTATTCACTGATTTAGAAGTCTAGGACTCATTCTTTGCCTGTGAAGGAACCTTCGAGCTCTTCTTCTTTTTCCTAGTTTGTCTAATTCCATGTTAGATGTTGTCATGAAAATCCGTGGTGTGCAAGTTGGATAATTTTTGGGTGAAAACTACAGGTCATGAAAATGCGTGGTGTGCAAGTTGGATAATTTTTGGGTGAAAACTATAGGTAATCAACCTCAAGTCAGGATTCTTCTACTTCATTGAAAGTGACGTTTTTCTCCTTTCATCACTAATCCTGAAAAATAGAGGCACCCAATGAGGACCAACAAATGGTAAGACAAAACTGAGGCTTTGCAAGTTTGAAGAACCACTGAACCAGCAACCATGATAGCCTAATCAGTTGACTAAATGTTATATTTGACCTAAATAGTTTCATTACATTCAGAAGGGTTAAAACCATTGATGGTCCCTAAACTTGGAAATTGCTCAATTAGGTCCTTTAACTACTTTAACAGAGATGTTGATATAGCATTCTTAAAGCCAATAATGGCCCTGAACTTTGTCCAAATATTCAATTTAGCCCTGAACTTTGCCATTGTTCAACCAATTCCCTAAACTTTGTTAAGATATTTTCACTTTAGGATTTCCATTAACGGTGTCAATGGAAAAGACGTATGTTGCATTTTCATTTTAACCTTTTCTTTATTCACATGGAAAAACAAAAATTGTGTTTAAACCACTTCCAACAGCAACCCCTAGCAAGCCCTAAAACCCTAGCCCCTGGCTCCATCTTCCCCCACCATGCATCAATACATTTCCTCAATTATCAATTAACAGAGAATGCGCAGTCTCATCTCCATATTCTACAGTCATTGCTTTCTTTTTTATCTTTTTTCCAAAATTTTCTGTTAAATGCCAAATTGGTTAAAAATTAATTCAAATGGAGGAAAAGAAATTGGCATATCAGCATTTCCCTTTCACTTGTTTTCTTTCATGTTCTTGCGGTATTTCCTTCCCTGTTCTTTGCTTCTCTTTCTTCACTTCAAGCTATATATTATATAAATATATAATACATTGGCTTTTACATATCAACACTAGTACATAACCAAACTCCAATCACACTTCAGCTAACGGGGAGAACAAAAGCAACATAGGAATGGAACATATTTCGTAGTAAAAACTTCCGAAGTTTGGCTGCCCAAGTGAGCCAATACACTTACAGGGCATGTCAATTAGGGGTTGGAGGTTTAGCCATGAAGTGCTTCTGGGCAAACTCAAGAAGCTCCTCAGCAGTTGGGACAGCATCCTTTAATGCATCATGAGAACAAAACCTCTCGGCCCACCCCACAAGAGCTGGGGTCTTGGCCTCGTCCAGCAGCCTAACACCAATCAACTTTTCTGCCACCTTCATCCACCCCAAGAAGCCCCTAGTGCTATGTCAAGGTATCCTACGTTATCCCCTCCAAAGAAAGCCTTCCCTTTGCTGCACTGGCGATAGGCCCCTTCTAGTTGGATCAGCACTTGAAACATTTGATCTAGAACTCTCTTTTTCTCCTCTTCTTCTTGCGCCGTCCTCAGTTCCCTTAGCAGTGGAGCCCACTGAAATTGACCATTTGAATTGTGTCATTGATAACGAATGAGATTTCAATTAATATTGATTATAATGGAGCATAAGAATTAAAAATAATATAATGATGTGTTTGTTCTAGGATAAGAAGATGGTTAGAAATCCTTGCGGTGATCAGACCTTTCTGTTGAAAAGAATCGTTTCTATGCATTTCTGCGTGCCTGCAACTTGTTGCGTTTTGTATATAGAACACTGTTTGGATTTGCTTTTGCAAAAATAGTTCTTTGTTTTTGGAAACAGATCAAACCCATTTAGCAGGTTATCTTCCAAAAGTGTTTCCAGGAGAACTTGCAGAAAATGTAGTACTCAATGTTTTCTGTTTCCGAAAATACAAAACATGAAACTGAAAACAAAAAAAAAATAAAATAAAATCCAAACACAGAAGTACCTTGTCATCAATATAGGCTGCCCAGAATCGGGCTAGTGCACGGTCATAGGGATCAGAGGGGAGAAGGGGTGGACCAGATGTCCATATTTCATCGATGTATTCAACGATAATGAGAGACTCGCATATGGGCTTGTCATCATGGATAAGAACTGGATTTTTTTGTGAACAGGGTTTGATTTGAGGAGAAGCTCACTTTTGGTGCCAAATTTTTCTACGAGGAACTCATAGTCGAGCGATTTTAGGTTTAGGGCGAACTGAACCCGGCTCACATAGGGGCTGGGTCTAGCTCCTATAAGCTTCAGACTGGCCATGGCCTCTATTCTCTGGCAACAGAAATCTGGGTATGCTTAAGAGAATTGAAATGTAAGGTACAACTAGTGGTGTATATATAACAAAACTGTGGAAGACCGAGCACCATTTATCGTCATCCACTATGTCACAGCACAAGGGAGATGTCCACTCATGCTAAGTCTCCCCTCTGTCTCTCTCTCTCTTCTCTCTCTTTATTGTAGTTATTCATGTTTTATAACGCTATGAAAGTGCTGGTTCACGAAGTTTAATAGGTTTGACCGGTGAAAAGACATTGTAACCTCCAATTAAGATTGTTCTTGTTCCTATGAAATGGACATTTTGTCAATCCATTATTAATTAATCTTGAAATTAAGGAGTATTTGGTGATGCAGGTTTATGAATTCTTTAGGCTTATCGTGGCTTAATCTATTTGGTAAACTTGTCTTATTAGATATTGAGATAAAAAAAAGTCTCATAAGTTTTAAAACTTCAATTTTTCACTCTTTGACTTTTTTGATACAATTTATGATCAAAGTTTTATTATGTTTAAGGAGAAAAAAATAGATATTAAAAGATGAAATTATTTAAGAGAGAGGAATCTGAAAAAATTAGAGAGATAAAATTTTAAAAAGAGAAAAATTTTAAAAAAATTAGAGAGAGTTGCAAAAATTAAAGGAAGAAAATTTTAGGGAAACTTTTGGAGAGTAAAAATTTTACAAAAAATAGAGAGAAAGTTGGAAAAAATTAAAGGAAAAAAATTTTAGAGAGAGAAAATGAATATCTTGGCGATAGAATTTTAGAGAGAGAGAGAGAGGGAGAGTTGACAAAAGTCTAGGAATTGAAAATTCTAAAAAACAAAATTTAAAAAGACAAAATCAAATTTTTTGATGTCAAATAAATTATTGATTTTTTAGTCAATTTATGGAATAGAGTGTCAAATAAGTTATAAAAAAAATTAAATTTATGCTAATTGGAAGTTAATGTATAAAAATTTAGAAACTTGTACACGAAGTTAGCAAAGGCAAGTAAGTAGTAATAAAAGGAAGGGCAAGACAAAAACTCTGGCTATCGAGAATTAGCAAAGTAACGTATGATACAATAAAATGATTTTTAATAGAATAAGAGTAGAAATAGGGATAAAGTAAAATAAAAATTGTTATAAGTATGTTTGATGTATATTAATTAATGAAATGAAAATTTTTATTCTATTATTATATTTAATATGCTAAAATAAAAGTAGGAAAGAAAATCAAAAAGTTGTTCACAAGCAAAAATATCCCTTATTAGAAAAATTTTAAAATTAGAAAAAACTTAATACCTAGTATATTAGAATATATTAAAAGTTGAAAAATTTTTTAAAAAATTGTATTCTAATATTAAAATATTAATTTTATCATATATATTATGCTATATTCTATTATATTACACACACATATAGATATATATAATATATATTATGTATATAAATATATAATAAATATATAGTTTGTTATATTATATAATAGATATAATGTATATGTAATATTATAATATATATAATAATTGTACAAGTAAGTGATAAAATAGAATATGGATTTTATCACAAACGATGGAATCCATGATGAAATCCAGATTACAACATTTAATGAAATCCTGATTCTCTAATAAATCAAAATTCCCATTATAAAGTATATTATATGGCATAGATTGTCAAGTAAGCTATATAAGAGTTTTAAATTTGCGCTAACCGGAAGTTAATGTTTAAAAAGAAACTTGTGAACGAAGTTAGCAACGGCCAATAGGTAGTAATGAAAGGAAGGACAAGACAAAAACCGCGGCTCTAGAGAACCAGCAAGTGTTATAGCCTAATCAGCTGATGCTTTCTTCTATTTAATTTACTTTCGTCCCATCCCATTTGTAAATTCTAAAACCGTCTGTTGAATAAACAAACGCACTGGCGTCAATCCAACACTTGTTACGTATGCAATGACATTGAAACCTGAATCAGGGTCGTGCAATCACATAGAAAATACGGTTCACGGCCAACCGGATTGACGTAACCGAACACTCCATCAGAATTTTCAATGTTAAAATGAAGAGCGAATTCAAGTGATACAATATTTATGATATTTATTTTCGATTCTTGGCTTCCTTGTGTCTCCTCCAATTTAAACCTGTCATGTAATTGAAAAAAAATGCTAAATGAAGAGTCTAGATCTTTCTAAAAAAAATTAATTTAAAAGTTCGATTTGAGAATCTAAAAAATTTGAAACGTTCGTGATGAAATGAACATATGAAATTGACTAAAATAAGGAGTATTTTGATCTTTTTTAAAACGAAGAATTTAAAAATTTCATTTGACAATTTAAAAAATTTAAATCATTGGTTTGGTGATAAAATGAATATCTAAAATTTAGAGTGTTTTGAAATATAATAGGCTCATAATCCAATTGCTTACGCAAAATCATGTAATGATAGTATGTGAGACGCATCATCACAATAATATTGACAAATCCAATAGATGCTAGGGTTGAATTTAGAGGCCACCCTTCCATTGGGTTTAGCCTCTGCTTCATCAAATATACTCAAGGTTAAGAACCCGTAAAACTTTTGTCAAGTCATGATATTGCTACTAATTCTAAATGTAAGTAATTTTTGTGAACCTTCTTTGACTCCTAGAAGCTGCATGCTGCTTTTAAATTTTACCATCCTATTTCACCGTAGTATTAAGCTGCATAATTTACCTCGCCGGGTGGTTTATAATATAAATTTAGAATTCATTAATAAACCCATCTTCAAACACTTCCGTAAAGAATTCAAGATGTGTAATCTAATCTTGTGTTCGTCATTTGATGTTAGATGGTAATAATCTTCTATTTTGCTTTTGGTTCAGATCAACCACAGCCCCAAAGTAACCACAGAGGAACACGCATGGAGGTCAGAGGACCTGCCGGACTTTTCTCCTGGGATCTTCTATTTTCTTTGCGTGCTCCGGCCTCCGTTAAGGCCGGTGAGCAGGTAAGAACTTTCCTGTTTAATCTTTTTTTTTTTTTCTTTGTTTTGACATTTCAGCAACAGTGCCTCGTATTTATACTATGTATTTTAGGTCTTTATACAATACGACATTAACAAGAGCAATGCTGAGTTGGCTTTGGATTACGGCTTCATAGAGTCCACCCCAGAGCGCAATGCCTATACCATAACCTTACAGATATCTGAATCAGATGATTTCTACGACGACAAGCTAGACATTGCTGAAATGAATGGTCTAGGGGAAACGGCCTATTTCGACATCAATCTGGGCCGCCCTCTTCCGCCACAATGCTTCCGTATCTGCGGCTGGTGGCACTGGGGGGAACAGATGCCTTCCTCCTTGAAGCCCTCTTCAGGAACACGGTATGGGGCCACCTTGAATTGCCCGTTAGCCGTGCCAATGAAGAGCTCATTTGCCGAGTTATCTGTGAAGCTTGTAGCGATGCCCTCTCTGGTTATCCTACCACAATTGAAGAGGTAAGTTTTGTGCTTTGTCAGTCAACCTTTCGAATTTATGCATTCACTTTTTAAGTAGAAGCCAGAAGATTAAAATGTATAATATTCTAACTACTAGGCCTATATACCTTGCAAAGCACCTAAGTGCAAAATGCAAAAGTTACCAGGCATGGCTTGAGTTAGTATTAGACAAGCTTGTTGGAACATCCCAGAAAGTTATACTAAACAAGTACAAATTGCAGGATG